GTCACCAAGTGAACCAGTCTGCTCCTATAGCCAGAGAAAGGATCTGTTGACTGAAGTTTCTGTTCTGCCTGGTCCTGCAGCTGCTCACTTCCAAAGAAACACACAGAGGCTTATACTAATTATAAACTGTTTGGTCTATTAGCTCAGGCTTATTAATTTGTTCATACAACTTAACCTATAAATGTTTAGCCATGTGGCCTTGTACCTTTTCTCAGTGAGGCATTCATTCTCATCTTGCTGCCTCTACATCTATCTGCCTTTCCTCTTCCCAAAATTCTTCTAGTCTGGTCGCCCTGCCTATACTTCCTGCCTAACTGCTAGTCAATCAGCATTCTATTAAATTCATATGAGTGACATTTTTTTACAGTGTAGAAGAGCATTATCACAACATTTCCCCCTTTTTCTTTTTTAAATAAAAACCCTGAATCTTATCTCCTTTGTTTAGTCTTCTTCTTGACCATTATCTGTAACTTGTAACCAACACGCTAAACAAAGATAAACATCCATAGCCTATTTTTTTTTTGGAATGTGGGTGTAGTTTTCTGTGCTATTTCCTGTGATTGGGGGTGCTGGTAATCTTATGGGGACACAAAGAAAATTTAGGATTATGGTCAAGTCCTGAGAAGCTTGATCATCTTCAGCCAGCAACCTTGAAGCTGTTCTGGATGCAGAACTCAGAAGAAACTGCAACAGACGTGCTCTGAAATGTTGGATCATCTGAGCCATCCATTCCCAGTGGAGATTTTCCAAGGGGTCTTCCTCAATCTTATTTTTCTTAACCAAGAATAAATCTATAGCCTTTTCTTCCTGTGGAAACAAGCAAAACCTCTTCTCCAAAATAGCATATCTTTGACTTAAATTTTGAAGTCAAGGCTTCAAACTATATAGGTTAGATTAATCCAGCAGCATTTATAATCAAATGTCTTTTTTTGGGAGGGAGTAGTTTGAGACAGGGTTTCTCTGTGTAGCTTTGAAGCCTGTCCTGGCACTTGCTCTGTAGACCAGGCTGGTCTCAAAGTTACAGAGATCCGCTTCCCTCTGCTTCCCCCAAGTGCTGGGATTAAAGGCGTGCATCACCACTGCCTAGCTTCAAATGTCTTGGTAGCAGATGTTGCTCTTTGCTCAACAAACAATTCAAAACAACACAATAACATACAGTATCCAGATTCTCTGTGTATTTTCCACCTTTATGTGGCTTTTTAAAAACCTCTATCTTTTATTTTTATTTTTTAATTTTTGGTTTTATGAGATGTTTGACTGTCCCGGAACACACTCTGTAGACCACGCTAACGTCGAACTCTCTGAGATCCACCTGCCTCTACCTGGGATTAAAGGCATGTTCACAACACCTGACTACTCTATTTCTCTCTCTCTGTATTTCTCTCTGTATTTCTCTCTCTCTCTCTCTCTCTCTCTCTCTCTCTCTCTCTCTCTCTCTGTAGCTTTGGTGCCTGGCTCTCTTTTTTTTTTTTAAAGGACTTTCTCTATCCTTTTTCTTTTCTCTCCCAAGCCTATGTTATTTTTTAAACACACTGTAAACCATTTAGAGGTTTTTTTCCCCCCATCTGAATTTCTCTATTGTATATCTTTTTTTCTGAGCACATGAGTCTTTAATCTACCTAAACAGCATGGCTAGGATTAAAGCTGTGGCTTTGGGGATTGGTTTTCTCAGAGTCTAGGCTTCATGGTGGAGGTACTGGTGGAAACCACGTTTATTGTCACAACCCTGTGGAGTTGCAAGGTCCATGCCACCACCAAGAAGCCTGCCGCTGCCAGCTGCTCATAAATATCATTTAATTGTTTGGTAGCAAGCCTCTTAAAAGAGCTTCAAGGGTTTTTGCCACTATTGCTGAGTCAGGAAGCCTCTCTTAAGGGAGCTGTGCCTCTGCTTGCCTCTAGCAAAGAGAGCCCATCTGAGAAAATGCTGCTACCAAGAGCCTGTGTTTGACTCTGTTCTTCTGTGTCTAGAATCCTTTCCCAAACTCTCTCAGGTTTTATGTGGATATAGTTGCTGAAAATTGGGCACCTTTTATAGATGGAAGTTTCTGTCCTGCCTGGTCCTGCAGCCGTTCAGTCCCAAATAAACACACAGAGGCTTATTAATTATAAACTGTTTGGCCTGTTAGGGATCAGAATGTATTTGCACTAACTTTTCATTATTTGTGATGAGTTATAATGATGCATATTTATCCCTCTTAAATCTCTGTCATTTGCAAATTAGAAATAATCAAGTTATTGATGCAATGATCATTTCCTTCCTACATCCTTGAGTGCAGTTGGTAGAAAGTTACCTATTTTATGAAGCTGACATTTCTTCATCATGTATAAAGGAACTTCTTCGGTTATTCAAGACAGGATTTCTCTCTGTATCCCTGACTGTCCTGGAACTCACTCTGTAGGCCTGGTTGACCTCTAACTCAGAAATCCCAGTGCCTCTGCTTTCTGAGTGCCGGGGTTAAATGTGCTACCACTGTCTGACTCTTCTTTCTTTTTCTTTTTTTTTTGAACTTTTAAAAATCACTGAGTTAAACATAACTGTGCATGTTGCATTTTCCTGATTTCTAGGAGAACCGAAACAAACAAACAAAAAACCACCTGCTTGCTATTTGTCATTCATAATTTGCTTCTTAAAAATCATAATTTGCTTTTTAAAAATAGAAGCCAATTTTGTCCATGAAGTTTAGCAGGGACATTTTTAGGAACCCTACTTGTTCTTGTGCTTCTCACTTGTGCTTCCCCACTCTTTTTTTTTTTTTTTGGTAAGACAAAAATTTAATAAATTGAATAGTGGGTTTATATGACCCATGGTGCTGTGCTAGTCTTATGGAACTGTCACAGAAGCATAAAACAAGAGCTGGCGAAGAAAGTGTTACATATTGTCATCATCTGATTCATCTTCTCAAAGATTCCTCAGCCTGTTTCTCTGCTTTCTCCTTTATATCTTTTAGAATGATTCCATATTTCTTTAGTTCATTCTCCAACCCATCTGAGCTCTAGTTCAAAAGCTTTATCCTCAAAATATTTTGCAACTCCTTTAACTGTACCACAGGAAGTAATTTCTTTCATCAGAAGCTTTTTCATATCTTTTTTGCAGCTTCCTGGCTTTGCTAATGGTACAACCCCAATAACCATGAAATACCCTATGGGTCGATACATATAGAGCTGTGCATCCTCTTTCATACTGTAAGATCTAACTTGAAACTGCAGCCAAAAGGCTTAACAGTGATGTGTATGAGTGTGTATAGATATGGCCACTCTACAAGATTTTTAGAGGAGTGTTTCAGCTAAAGTTAGAACTAATGTTGGGATGCTTCTCTTCTTGCAGCGTCTGCTAATGAATGAACATCTGCCAACAAACCTGTGGCTGCCACTCTAATATGTTGATCACCATTAAAGAATTGCTTATTGGAGCCTTCTTCATAAAGATTTATTTACTTATTTACTCATCTATCTATCTATCTATCTATCTATCTATCTATCTATCTATCTATCTATCTATCTATCTATCTATCTATCTATCTATTTTCTAGACAGGGTTTCTCTCTAGCTTTTTAGTTCCTGTCCTGGAACTAGCTCTTCTAGACCAGGCTGGCCTCGAACTCACAGAGATCTGCCTGCCTCTGCCTCCCGAGTGCTGGGATTAAAGGCGTGCGCCACCACCGCCCGGTCTTCATAAAGTTTAGAAAGGACTTATTTTTCTACCCCAAAGATAGCATAGATGTCTTTACATCTGCTCCCAATAACTGTACTGCTGTTTCCCACAACCTTCATAGCATATTCATCTTGAAAACTCTACCATCAGGAGAGAATTTTACTCTAGATTTTTACTCAAGATTTTACTTGATTGTCCAGGCTAACCTGGAACTTAACTGTGTGACTCAAACTGACCTAAACATTCCTTCTGCTTTGGGCTCCCAAAATGCTGGAATTACTAAAGCATAAACCTGGCATTACTCAAAGCCAGGCTCCTTTTCTTTCTGGCTTGTTTTTGTTTTGTTTTTGAGACATTGTCTCACTCTATATCCTTTGCTGGCCTGGAGCTTGATCTGTAGACCAGACTGTCTTCAACTAACAGACTGACTGCCTTTGCCATGCGCATGGGCATGCATGTGTGCGTGTGTAAGAATACATTTAAAACAGTAAAAATTTAAAACAGTAAAATTTAATAGTTGTTTAACCATCACCTTAATCTAATTATGGAACATTTTTTATCATCTCCTAAAGTGTTTTTACTTACCGAAAGTCTTACTTAGAAAAGTCTTAGCAGGGGCCTGAAGCCCTTGGTTTAGTCTCCAATGTTGGAGGGAGCATTTTCTCTCAGAAGCACTTTTTTATTCGTTGTTTAGTTTGTTTTTCAAGACAGGGTTTCTCTGTGTATCCCTGGCTGTCCTGGAACTCACTCCGTAGATCAGGCTGGCCTCGAACTCAGAGATTCTCTTGGCTCTGTCTCCTGAGTGTTGGTATTAAAGGAGTGCCTCACCATTGTCTGGCTCAGAAACACTTTTTGAGGGGTAGTTTTTATTTTTGGAGATAGCATCTTCCTGTATAACCCAAGCGAGTCTGGAATTAACTTTGTGAGTCAGAATGGCCTCAAACCTGTGGTTTCTGGTCCTGCCTTAGCTGCTTGTGTTAGGATCATAAATGGATTTCACCTTGCTTTTCCATTTAAATTTATGTGTTTGTGTCTGTAAACCTTTATAAGTTTTTGTATTATGATTTTAGTTTTAGCTAGTTTTAAAAATGTTTTTCTAGAAATGATCTTGAACAAATAAAGAATAAAAGTAAAACCAAAATCAGAGTAGAAACAATGGAAAATTCATTCTTCAGTTTTTAATAAGATTATATACTGAAAGAACAAATACAGCTAATAACTGTTCACAACCTTCATGATACAGGTTTTTTATTTGTAAATTTATAATTCTCAAAAGAGAAAAGATACTTATTTCCTGTACATGCAGTTAGGTTATTGACTGACCTTCAATTTTTTTTTCTCCCTACAGAATCTGTCTATGATCTTCTCCCAAAGGAGTTACAGTTACCTCCACCTAGAGAAACTTCTGTAGCATCAATGAGTCAGACAAGTGGTGGTGAGGCAGGCTCGCCTCCTCCAGCTGTAGTTGCTGCTGGTATGCATTCCATTTTACTTCACTCATGAAAACTAGGGTTTTATCTGGCCTACATGAACAGTATTGGCAAAGTTATTTCAAAAAGAGTATGATTTGAGGGTTTGTTTTAGAAGGGTTTAAAGACTATACCCTTTAAATGGAAAGGTTTTCAATTTTTTCATTTTTTAAAATTTATGTATATATATGTGTATATATAAAATTTTTAATTTTTGTACATTTATAAATGCTATTTCCTAAAATGGACTTTGTGTTCAGATATAGGAACCAATTTAAAATGACTGTTGAGTGCACATAAATTGGTTAAATACCAAGCTATGGCTAGAAAATGGTATTTTTTTTAAAGACTTGCTCAAAGGGAAAAATGTTATATGATCTGAAAAAGGACTCAAGTTCTCAAGTTTCTTTTCTGTTTATAGGGATGTAGCTATAACCTTTTTCCTATATTTAAATATACATGTGGCCTGATTTATTTTAAATTCATGGAAAATAATAAAAAATTGAGTACTATATGTAAATACACTCTCCAGTACCAGTGAAAAGCATTAAAAATGTTTGAAGTTTGTCAAGTTTATTTTTACTCAGCTCTCAAATCATACACTTTATAACTATAGTTAAATTGGTTCAGACTTTTCTTTGAATTAGGATAAAACATGACAGATAAACTAAGACGAAAAAAGTCTTTAATAATAAATTAGTATGAATGATTTCCTTATTAGCTTGCCCAACTATAGTACTTTAAGAAGTTGGGTTTATAGGATGCTAAATGTATTTGCTTTAGAAAATGGATACATTATTCCTACTTTTCTGAAGGTTGTATCTTTCCTATAGGGGTTTCCTGCCTTGTGATACTTGTTATCCTTTAAAATGGTATTTAAAGTCCATCAAAAGGTTCACAAGGAAAAACCAAAAGGGAAGGCTGTAGTCCTAATGACAGTATTGGTACTGTGTTCTAGCAGCAGGTATTTAATTTCTTATATGCACTAACCTGTATACCATTAGCCTTTCTCAAGCCAAACAGTGCAGTATGAAGCCTTCTTGGTTGAGGGCAGGAAAGATTTAAGCATGATAAAGAAATATTGGCCCTTCTCACTGTTCATGTGTGGCCAGACATTTTCTAACAGTTTCTGTGGATTTAATTGTGAATTAGTGCATTTTTTATGATCAATTTGATAAGATGATCTGGTTCACTTCATATCTACCAGATTCTAAAGTGGCTCTGAATATTTTTTTTGAATTTGGAGCTTAAATCTAGTTTTTAAAGATTGAATCATAAAATAAAATAGAAAATATTTTAAAGTAGTATTGTTTCACTTTAAATCCACACGTAGAAATTGACTAACTGATTTCTTTTGTGTCTTGAAATTGTTTTTTTAAGGACATTTTGAATCTACATAGAACTACAAGTCTGTTTCTTCTGTGCTTTTTAACATCTGTTTACAGTAGATCCAGTTCCTTTTAAAAGCTGAAAAAAATTAGCTAAGTTTAGAAAAAGAACAACACTTGCTTTTAAATAGCACTACATGTTTTAGAAATTCTTATGTGTAAATATTTAAAGCCCTTGATTTGGGGTCACTAATGAAAAGTTTCACCTTATGTATAGTTGAGAAATTCCTTCCAGGTAAATTAGATTCAAAGCAATGAGTTGGAACATGAAAATAAAAGATTTGACCAAAGGAAATATTCTAAAACTATCTCTGTGTGTATATATATATAAATAAATATATAAATGTATTTATTTTTATACCTTGGGATTAAACTCAAGGCCTCATGCATGATAGGCAGGTGCTCTACCACCAAGATAGACCCCAGTAAATTCTTACTATCTTGAAATCATTGGCATTATAAAAGCGGTAAAGAGAATAAAAAGGTAACTTTGAAAGTTTTCATTTCACAGAAAGTTTCTGTAATTTAAATCCAAGTAATCAATCTTTTAATTTGCAATTCTTCTTTTTTAGTTTATTTTATTTTCTGATGTCTTATTAATCGAAAAGACTCCTTTATTATATATTGTTAAAGATAAGAGTTTAAATTACAGAGTAGTAGTTCTAGGGACATCAGTATGTATTATATGTGAAATCATTGGAGCCACATTTTTATCTATCAGATTGATAACTTTGGTGATACAACTATCAAAGAGAAAAACTGGGAATATATTACCAAGTTACTAAGTGTCCTTCTGACCAAAAGCTTGATAGCTAGGGAAAATGCACATTAATTTAATATCTGATGTTTTTAAAAACAAAAATCTGTAGCATTTGCTGTTTACATGTGAAATGCATAAAAATGATGACTCTTGATATAGTTAATTCTTCAGAGTTTTGAAGGAGCTGGATTGGCTGCTATCAGGTATGAGGGCCTGGTGGGAACAGACTTCTAGTTCTGCCATAAAGGTTTGTGTTTCACACATTTTAAATCAGTTTAAATCTTAAAAAATTTTAGAGACCGGGAATATGTATGTTCATGACATTCTTTATTATTTATTAAAAATGTGTTTCTCAGATTCACCAATTTTTTTTTTCTTTCTGCCTCACATATTACTGAGGGTGTAAATAAATGTGATGCTGCTGATCCACAATCCAGAATCCTGGGTAAAGGATGTCTCTCAGTCCCTTTTAATTTGTTAGGATTTTGGTCTTTGTACTATTACTCCTTTACATACTCTAGTATCTTCTTTTTTTTTGCTCTATGAGACGCAGGGTTAGGGTGAAGGAAGACGAGGGTAGGAGGCCTCTCCTCTTCTATATGAAGACCAGGTCAAAACCTTTCATTAGTTTGAAATTTGTTCACCTGCCTGAACACAGAGAAACCCTGTCTCGGGGGAAAAAAAAACGGGAAAGGGAAAAAAAAATTCTTTTGGGAAACTAGTTAAGAGTTTGAAGTTTAATATGTCAATAAATGACAGATTCAGAAATAAAAACCTTAGATCATATTGCAGGTTCCGTAGGTAGCTATGACAGAGGCCATTTCTTAAAAAAAAAAGTCAATGAATTAGTTGTTGCATGAATAATAAAAACTCAGAGACAGATATTGGGGTTCAAGCTGAAGATCAGAAGAGCAAAGCAGCCAACCACTTTTACCTCTACCAAATCTTCAGACTGAAAGGGCAAGATCCTGTCTCCAGGAATCCTCAGACTCCACACTCCAGTGAATTCCTGTCTCTCCCAGTTTATATTCCCCTCTCAACCCAGCCACTCCCTCCATCCTTGTCTCCACTTCCCTAGTGCTAGGATTAAGGGTGTGTGACTCCCAAACACTGGGATTAAAGGTGTAAACCACCACCACCTGGATCTGTTACTGGATCGAACTTGTCTAAGCCAAGTTAACCTTGAAATCTGTCTGCCTCTCTCCCTAGTCCTTGGATTACAGGTGTGAGCCACCACTCTGGCCTGTGTGACTGACTAGTGTGGCTGCTTTGCCCTGTGATCTTCAGGCAAGCTTTATTTATTAAAACACAAATAATATACCACTATAATTAATAGTATTAACAAAATAAGGAGTTGACCAACAAGTTATAGCAAATCAAATATTATTTTTAGGCTTTTAGATTTTTTTTTTTTCGAGACAGGATTTCTCTGTAAGCTTTTGGGAACTTTCCAGACCAGGCTGACCTTGGACTCACAGAGATCTGCCTACCTCTGCCTCCTGAGTGCTGGGATTAAAGGTGGGTTCCGCCACCACCTAGCACATTTAGAGTTTTTAATCCTGAGATTTGTTTATAATAATAAATCTTTCATGGAAATCAGTATTAACCATTTTTTTTTGTCTCAATTTAAGAAATCAGGTCTAGTATATCTATAATACCAGCATTTGAGAAGTGGTGGGGAGATCAAGGTCTTCCTCTGCTACATAGTGAATTTGAAGCCAGCCTGAGCTACGTGGGACGACTGCCCTCCCCCCACCCCCAAAACAGACACCAAAAAAAGTGAAATTAGTTTGTCTGTTTTCATTTGGGGGATATTTGATGGGCATTATATTTCTTAGTTTATATTTAGAATAAACTGCCTTCAAACAATGGGGGTTTCCCCTCCCTTTGCCTCTAGGGTGCTGGGATTATAGCTATGTGCTACTATACCCAGCAAGCAATTCATTGTTTACCTCAAGAATTTGAGTTAAAAATCTTTTCAATAGCCTTCAAGGATGGCTGCTAGTTTGAGGCCAGCCTGGGCTACTTAGGGTGATTTTCTGTCTCGAAAAAAAAAAAAGCAAAAAAAACTAAAATAACAACAAAGAATTGATAAAACTATACGTTTTATAATTCAGTGAAAAGTTAATAGCTAGTGTATAATTAATTGTTTTCATAAAGTTTATATTTTACTTGAAGTAATTATGTTAGTATTTATTATGCATGTATGTGGACAGGATCTCAAATTCCCTATATAGACAAGCCTAGCCTGGAACTCCAATTCCTCTGGCTTCCAAATTCTGGGTTACTAGTTTGTCTTTCTTAGAAGCAGCATAGCCTCAGTATGCTAATTCACAACGTAGCTTTTTAAAACATGTATAGACAGCTACAGTCATAAAGCATGTACAATAGAATGTCTCTTGAGGTCTACGGAAATGCTGAAAGTGATTGAAGACCTTATCTCAGATTTGCAGACTCTGTGTAAAACCTTGTTGCATTGGTGCATTTCTGTAACCCTGTCACTGCGGTAGAGTGTGTGTGTGAAAAGACAGGTGGACCTTTCAAAGGCTCCATGGTAAGCCAGTCTAGTCAAAAATGAATGGCAAGCGAGTCCCCCCAAAAAAATAAAAAACAAAGTGGAGAAGTGATTGAGGAAGATTATCCTGATATCAATGGCTGGTCTCCATATATACTTCCACATTAGTGAATACACCCCCCCCAATACATCACACATAGAGAGTCTCTGTTGAATATTTCCATTATTAGTTCAGTGTAGGGTTTTTATTCTGTTCTATTTTGGTTTGGTTTTGGGTTTATTTGTTTTGTTTTGGTAATTTTTAAATTTGTTCTATAACATTTATTTATTTATTGAGGAATG